ACTACTACTACTACTACTACTACTACTACTACTACTACTACTACTACGACTACGACTACGACTACCACTACGACTACGACTACGACTACGACGACGACGACGACGACGACGACGACGACGACGACTACGACTAGTACTACTTCTACTCCACCTCCCCGTCCTCCTCCTCCTCGTCCTCCTCTCCTCCTCCTTCTCCTCCTCCTCGACCGAACTCTTCTTATCAAAGTACGGCGAGCAAGGACCTGAACGTAGCACATAAGCTTGGCAATGCTACGGACATTAGATCATACCATACACAACGGGACCGCGATACTAATCCAAGCCGGACAGACCAGTTACTCACGAACAGACCAAGCCAAACCGGGGACAGACCATCATTCAATACACCATAGGAGAATGAGCTTCCGACGTATCTGCAAGTGGGCCTCCCACGAACTGCGGACATGGCAAAGGGGACCTCGCGTTTCGAAAGAAGGGACCACTTGACCACATAAGACACATTGAGGTAGGAGCACCAAAGGCGAATCATCATGATGATGGCTTCGATGGCGGGGGAACGGGGGGGCCGATGAGGCGTACGGAACCGAGCAGGGGGAGGATAAACGCAAGGACCCAAACAAAAAACCTGACTTCTGTATGTTGCCAACTTTGCGCGCTCAGAGCTCTCTATCAGACGGAACGGGGTCGCGCATCAAATAACATCAACAAACAGAACCGGCACACCATGACACTGCGCCCGACCATACCGCATTCGATCGCGCGCGCCCAGACGACGCCAGGCAAGGCCATCGAGAGCGAGGCCCAGCAGACGTGAACGCGACACTGGTCGCTGGATGCGCTGGTGGCGACACGAAGCGATCATCACACATCACCAGCGCGCCGGTCGAGGGCGTCAGTTCGGCGGCAGCCGTGGGCTGTCCTCCTCCTCCTCCTCCTCCTCCTCCTCCTCCTCCTCCTCCCCCTTCCTCTACCTATGGTAGCGGTGGTGGAAAATGAACCCATCATGGTGAGGACAGCTAGCCTGGCGAGGGAACGTCGCCCGGCAGCGCGCCCATGGGCTGCCGACCAGGTGGCGAGGGCGGCGCCGAGGCGCTCGCCGCTGGCGCCTGCAGCTGCCGAAGTCTGCACGCCGCCTCCGCCGGCGAGAGGTCCTGCAGCTCCCCAGCACCCGTCAGGCCTTCCGGACACCCGAAATGGGCAGGGACAGACTATAGGCACGATGCCCAACAGCACATGTCGCCCAAATCCGACATCGGCCGCGGTTGGGCAGGCGGCCCCCTGCCTCAAATGGACAACGTCCGCGGCGACACCGACAGCGATCCCTGTCCACACTGAGCAGGAATTACGGCCGGTCTTCGTCCTGCACATCCCGCACCGAGCTCGGGGGCGGCCACGAGGGGGGTGTCCAAGAGTGGGGGGGGCGCAAATCATGGCAGGAGGCACGTGCGCGGCCCCCGGGGGTGGGGGGCCCGGGACGCCTGGAAACAAGAAGCGGGGCCTCGAAACCTGGGGAGGTCTCATGGCCCCCGCCATGAGATCCACCCCCCCCCAGTCATCACCACCCTCTTGGCCGCCCCCGACGTTGAGCAGGGACCGACCGTCCCGGAATTCCTATAGGCCTACCACGACCTGTTCTTAGAACCCAAGGGTGTCCTAAGAACCAAAACGATGCTCTTAGAGCATAAACCCGAACAAGACAGTCCCGGCCAGGAATGCTCCAAGAACATCTCGCACAGACCACAAAAAGGCTCTTAGAACACTCTTCGGTAGTCCTATATAGGCAAGCTCGGACGCTTCGCCACTGCTTGACCACGAGCCTTGCCCAGACGAGCTCGCCCCAGCAGGCTGGGCGGGCGGTCCTGGGACGCACAGAGACATACTAATACTATATGTCCTCCTTGGAGGCGCGCGTCCGACCCGAACATATAGTATACCCATCTTGTAGTATACCGTTCCCCGAGCGGTATGGCCAGAAAGCGCCCGCCACGACGCGTATACTCTAAGACTTCCCGGTGCGCGCGTCGCCCCTGATGGGGGCGACGCACATGTAGTAGAAGCATGTTGGGGTCTCAGAGATCCGATGTCGTGACTTTTCCCAAATGCGGGGTCCCCAGCAGAAGTACTGGACCCAGTCCCCGGGACCGGCTTGACGTCCCGAGTCGACCTCGCGACGCTCCCGAGATGCCCGGCGAGGGCCCCCGGAGGCCGAACACGGCGAAACACCTCCGTCTCGATTCTTCCGCTGCGCTGGATTTCTCTGGGGTGACGCCGAGGTCCGGGAGGCGGGGGCGGCATGCTCCAGGCGGCCGGCGGGCGCAGCGGCGGTGGGCCGCGGCCGGCGGCCCACGGGGCCGGCGCCTCCCGGGGCCTCGGCGGCGGAGCGGCGACCGAGAGCCCGGCCCCGAGCCACGCCGAGCGCATGGATAGGGGGCCGTCGTCCGCGGGGCCCCGGGGCGGCGAGGCGCCGGCGGGGGCGCGGCCTGCGGGCGGGAGGCCCGGCGCTGCGAGAAGCATCGGAGCGGCGGGGTCTGGGCAGTTTTTTCGGCCTGCGGGGGCCCTCGCGGGGCCTCGGGCGTCAAGCAAGGGTTCGGGACGAAGGAGCGGTCCCGCGGGAGCGGTGCGGACCTCCGGGGCCCCCAGCGCTGCGGGACGCGGACTTGCCCCCCAGCTTGGAGTGCTCGCCGACTCTGCGGCAGATGCTTGACGGAGTGGTCGTCGTAGGCCCACGAGCATGCGAGGCGGGGATGTATGTAACCAGATCCACCGCCTGGGGGCCGACGCCCGGGTGGCCTGCCGGGGCCCCCGGAAACTGATCCTCCAGGCGGTGGTCATGTATAAATTCCCGCCTCGGAGGACATGCTGCGCCCTTGTTCGCAGACTCGGCGAACACAACAAGTTTGAGGCGAACCGATTCTGTATTCGATCTCCCACTCGAGACCTGGGGGCGGAGATGCCGTGCGGCCCAGGCTCGCCAGCAGCGGAAACGGAGGCGACGGGGGATCCCCTGGCGGAAGGCCCACGGCAAGGGCGGTGGGGGATCGCCAGGCGGTGATCAGCTCTCTCAGCTGAGTGTCCTGCGGCAGGGATTGACGGCCGCGCAAGGCTCGCACGGACGTCGTCACGCTCTGCGACTCCATCGGCTCGCCATGCGACCTCCAGGCGCTGTCGCTGCTGGCGGGCCGTGGGCCTGACGGCGATAACGCGGATGCCCGCGCTCTCACGGCCGAGGAAGAAAGAGGCGAGCTGGGCAGCATCGGCAGCTGGCCAGCAACAGGCATCCCAGCGGCCATGGCCTGCTGATTGCGCAGATGGCCGACCCAGGCCCAGAAGTTGACCTCGCTCTCCGCGAGCGTCCCGAGGGGCGGCACTGGCGGCAGCGCCACGCCTTGGCTTGCGGTGCGGGCTCCCTCCAGCGAACTGGCAGCACCGGCGTCTGCCAGCCTGTCCCTGGCGTCCTCGTGCAGAAGCGGTGGCCGTGGTGGCGGGTCCACGGCCATGGCGGCCTCGTCAAGGCTGGGCCTCGGCCTCGACGTGCCCTCCGGCGCCTCCGCCGCGGCTCTGGCGCCCCCCTCGTGGCCAGCCGCTCCCTCCAGAGCCGCGGGCGCGGCTCTGCCACCGTCGTGGTTCACGGCTCTCAGGAGCGCGCTGATGCTGTCCTCGATGAAGTGACCCCCGCTGACACGCGCGAAGACTCTCATGAGCATTACCCACAGCATGGTGAGGATCAGTGGCACGAGGAGCCACGTGCTGAGACAGCGAGTGGCCAGGCTGAGGAGCCAGTGGTCCGCGTCCCTCTGGCTCACGTTCGCCAGGAAGAGCATGGTGTACAGCAGGCAGAAGACGAACCACAACAGCCCGCCCACTATGGTAGACACGTCCTTCAAGAGCCACAGCCGCAGCTGCTTCTGCAGCTCCTGCTCTGTGCTGACGCGGGGCATCGTGCGGTTGCGCCGGGAGAGGATCAGCACGACCGGGGCGAGGCCGACGGCCGTGGACCCCAGGCTCACGAGCATGTCCCGTAGGAGGTTTCCCAGCAAGTCGTCCGGCCCCGCGCACTCGGGAATGTTGGGGCTCGCGCTGGTCCCAAAGAAGAGCGCGGAGAGCATCAGCGAGCCGAACACGGCATCGACCAGCGCCACGATCTGGAATACCCAGGGCATGGTCATGCTGTACAGCAGGAGCTTGTAGAGCGGGTGGACCGCCCTGTAGATGACCATCACCTCCCTGGAGAACTGCACCGCCTCCTCTCGGGTCGGGCGAAAGGGGGAGAAGCAAAGGGGGGGGGGTTGAGAGTCAGCTCACGTGGCTGATTTTCCCGGCGCCTCCCGGCGCCAGAGGCGGCTATGTATCGAGGAAGGGGCCCCTCGGCGAGGCCGAAACCGGCTGCATGCAGCAAATTCCGTACCCCCCCTTTCCCAATCCCCCCCTTTCGCCCGGCCCGACGCCTCCGCGGCCCCGTGCACGTGGCCCCCGCTCGAGGCCGCCCGCCCCTCGGGCTGGTCGGCCTCGGGGGCCACGGCGTTGGCGGCCCGGCGGCGCTGCAGCGCGCGGCTCTTGGCCTGGAGGACGGCCACGAAGTCGTTGGTGAGGCCGTTGTCCGACCCTCTCCGACCAGCCACAGCTGGGGGAACCGTGGTCCTTACCCCCCTGGGGGAACCCCTCGCGTCGACGATCTCTCGAGAGGGGTGCCGAAATCGATGGGCCCCCCAGGGGGGGGTTAAGGACCACGGCTCCCCCAGTGGTGGCGGGCCTGCCTCTCGCCGAGGCACGGTGGGGCCTCGCGAGGGCATCGAGGCTGCGCTTGCCCTCCGAGGCCCGCGAGTCCTTCGAGCCCGACGGTCTGGCCTCCGCGCCGGCGGGACCCTCTGGAGCCTCGTCACCACCGGCAGCCGCGGAAGGGGCGCTCCTCGTCGAGGACTGTCTGGAGTCGCTGGTGTTCTTGGAGGGCTCCCGCGAGTCGGCACCCTGCACCTTCCCCGGCCCTTCGCCGGTCGCTCCTCCATCATTGTCGTCGTCGTCGTTTGTCTGGGATGCCCTGACTTGCACTTTGCGCTTGCCCGGGCTATCGCTGGACTGATCACGGGTCACCACGTTGCCATGACGCAAGTAGCGTAGGTCTAGCTCAGAGAAGCCCATCGATGCAGTGACCCAGGTCATCATCATCTTGTAAAAGACGAGAGTTCGAATCATTTCGAACAGGCTCTTCTCGCAGAGCCGGTCGTAGTCGTAATCGAGCTTGAGTCTCAGAACAACGTGAACTAGGAATACTAACAACATGGTCAGTCTGGACCTGCCGTGCTTCTGTCCCGCGCCCATCATCTTCCTGAGCACGGTCTTCTTGCTGTAGCCCTTCGCGTCGTCGGAGTACATGAAGAAATTCGGCTTGGTCTTCCACGAGCCCTGAGACAAGCATGCCATCAGAGTGATGGCCAGGTGCACTGCCAGCAACGCCCAGAGCACGAGCCCAGCCCGCTGCAGCGCCCACTCGCCCCGGCCCAGCTCCACGAAGCCTGCAGGGGCGAGAATGGCCACGTTCGGACATACGAAGTCGCCCAGGAAAGATATGCTGCCGAGGGCGGAAGAGAAGAAGGAGAGGTGATTACACGCGCACAAGAGCGTGTCGCCGCTGACCTCCACCACCGAACAACCCTCGGTGGACCAAATCTCACCCGTGTGGTTAAAATACATGCACTCCTCCACCTGCTCCGCAGTGGCCTCCACTTGACCTTGGCTGAGCTTCCGTTGTTCAAGCAACCTTCTGCGTTCGGCGTTCGAGTGCCTCGGCAACTCAATGATGATTGGATCCTGCAGATTGCTCACGGTCACTTCTTCGTCATCCAGCCGGATGCTGAAGGACCGCACGCCGTCCGTCGCGATGCTTAAGTCGCTTGCCACCCCAGTGCTTGATGTTGGTGCTGGGGCGGTGGACCCTGCGTAGGTAAAAGGGTTCTTGTGCCACTTCGCGTTCAACAAACCGACAGTCTCGCCGCTCGTGAGCCTGCGCCCAGAGAGCAAGCGCATGCCCGGGGCGAAGCCTGGCATCGGGGGGAGCGTGAAGCCGCCAACGCTCGCGCCCTGGGTCGCAAGCACGTCGCTTTCCGCTTTCATGACGTTGAGCTGCAAGCCGGAGCTGTTCATCGTCACGGTCTCGCCCGCAGAGGCGCCCTGGACGACGGCGTCGCCGATTGCATCGGCGGCCTGCTGCAACTGGGTGCTGAGCCCCCTCTGCTCCGCCACCTGCTCGTCCGAAACGGCACCCCCTCCTGTTGACTACCTACCAGACCACCCCAACCCCACACGAAGACCCGAATTTGACCCGAATTTCGGGTTGGGGGGCGTACGCCCCCCCCCTCACTGGAAATGCACGGTAGATTGAGGCCTTCGGGATGGGTTGGGGTGGTTTGGTGGGTGGTGACCTGTGGGGAGGCTGCTTCTTAGGAGGCGCCGGCCTCACATCTATAGGTAAGGCCCGCGCCTCCGAAAAAGCGTGGGTGCTTCTACGAAGCCCTCTCCCCCTCCTCCCACCCCCCTCTGCGCGTGGCTGATCCTGTGGAAGCGGTGCCGTTGTCGGCGACTTCGGCCGTGGCGGTGTTCAGCAGGATGGCCACCGAATTGACTAGCAGCGTGGCGGTCCCCACCTCCAGGCCCTCGGAGAGGCCCCTCGCCGCCGCCGCGATGTCGGCGACTAAGCTGGCGGCCTCACGGGAGGCAGCTGTCACTGCACCGACCTCGCAGACGTGCTGCAGCGGACTTTTGCCTGGATCTCTGCCGGTGCAAAACCCCGAAGACGGCGAGTGAAAAACGAACAGAACGTCGCGTGGATTTGTTTTGGTCTTCACTCCTGGCCAACAAAAAAATCCGCACGAAATTCACCTCGAAATCCGGAGCGAAATTCTCCCGGGCACCCCGGGCCCACCCTATTGTTTTCGAACGAAAACCGCTCTGCGATGTTGGCGCCATGACAGTCGGGGGCGTATGGCAAGGGAGAGGGGCAAGATAGACGCGCTCGCATCATGTACAGTGGAGGCCCGTCCACAAGAAACCTTTCACAAGAAACCCAACCCTGAGACCCCAGGACGTCCACTGATTTTTGGCGTGGGAACGTCGCGCTCTCCATCGCAAAACCATCGAACGCCAAGAAACCCAGGGCACCCTGGAGGCGAACAGGGCGTTTCTTGGCATGGGTCTCCACTGCATGGCAAGGGAGAAGGGCAAAATAGACGCGGCCGCAGCATGTGCCCTTTCCTCCCATCCCGTACCGTGAAGGTTAGTCCTCTCTTTGCGCACAGTCGGATATCGAAGGAGATATGGATCCCGAAAAGGCCAACTGGTCCTGAAACGTGGCAAACGCTACAGCGGGACACAAAGCTTAATATGGCCAACGCGACGCGACGGAAGGAACGTCGTTCCTTCTTGTGGAACCTGTGCATGTTGCAAGCGCTGCGCCGAAACATCAATTTCTGATCTTGCAAGAGTGCGACCAACGCTGCGGCGAGAGCGTCGTTCCAGTGGATAGGGAACTTCAACAAACATCAGAGACGTGGCAGAAACTCCAGCGAGAACACCACTTTTGCTGATGCAAGACTACGGCCGGAACCACGTCGAAAGCGCACCTCCGTTGGACGGATGATCTGTAGAAAAATCGTCAGGCGTGGCCAACGTTGCAGCCTGCCCAGACCTTGTAACATGCAGATACCTATTTGATCTGGAAGAGTAAATCGGAACGTACATGTGAACAGTCCTTCGCTAAAAATGCAATCTGCGGGATAAGCGGGGGACAGTGAGCCAAAGGCGCGCCAGAATGTCTGGGCAAAAGTCCCGCATCTGTGCACAACACCGCCACCCTTTGGGTGAGAAAAAAAACGGAGGGGATGGGTAGATCATTCATGTTGCAAGTGGCATCGGACCGGGTTCGCAATTTACCGAACAAGCTCAGAACGTATACATCGATCGCCGCAGCTGTCAGGCCAACGGCCAAACTACACACATGTGTATATCTACATGTGTGCGCACATGTGTATGTATACGGGTATCATCACAAATATATGAGATATATAGATTTGTACGTGCAGTCATCGACATAACAACCGATCAGCCTCGCTGCGAAGTGACCAATATCAATGTCAATATACTGGCCGATCGCACGGTTTACTTCCCACAAGGTATCCACCGACCCCATTACGAATCAGTGGACGAGTCTCACAAAATCCGTATATCAATACATCGTCGATCCATCGATCTCGCGAGACTTCCGTAATATGGTCTATGGATACCATAACCAACGTATCGCTCGATTTCAGGATCCCTCTATCTATAAACGTGGGGGAAAACAATGGGAACACCATCGGGGCAACCAACGGAACAAAACCATCGGGACGATCATCTATCGGGACAACCATGCATCGGGACAACAAACATCGGGGCATCCATCGGGACAACCGCCTCCATCGGGATAACCATCGGAACAACCACCAACGAGACGATCATCGGGACGACCATCTGGACGTCCATCAGGACAACCATCGGGACGGGACGACCATGAAGGCAATGATCGGAACAACCTGCGGGACAACCATCGGGACGACCCCAGCAACGGCAACGGCCGGCGGGGGGCGGCTCATTTGAGCAAGACTTGGCCCTAACTCGCGCAGCTTCGCCTCGCCAAATTGCGCAGCTTCGCGTCTCCTCGCCCGCGTGTACGTCACACACAAAACGAAACCACATCCCGGCTGTGGAACCTTACAATGCACCTCCGAAACTTCATAGACAATCATTTGGGTGAGAAGGAAGTCGGGGCTGGATCGACATCATCTGCGCTTTGCGAAGAACTCACAATCAAAGTCGCGAGGGGACACGCACCAGAACAGCAACATTGTGCTTATCTACGGCGCGTTGCCAATCATGTCCAATCATGTCCAATCGCTGAGCCCGCTGAGCCCTATAGAACTTACAAGCCCTTGGGGTTTGTAGGGCTTATGCGGGTTATACGGCGTATGTGGCTTCTGGTGCTTATACGGGGTCGTCGGCCCATGGAACAATCGTCGGTTCATGGGACAACCATCGGCGACGCAACCATTGGGACAACCGTCGGGATTACCATCGAGACAACAGTCGGCAGAACCATCTGGACCACCATCGGGACAACCATCGGGACAAGCGTCGGGGCAACTATCGGGACAAGCGCCGGGACGACCATCGGAACAGCAATCGGGGCAGACACTTCCATCAGGACAACGGCGGGGACGACCATCAGAAGAACTTCGTTCGGGACAATCATCGGGACAGGCATCGGCACAACCATCTGGACAACCAACGGGACAGGCGTCGGCACAACCATCGTGATAACCATAAAGGTACCCATGGGGACAAGGATCGGCAACGCCATCGGATCCACCATCAGGCCAGCCATCAGGGCAAACCTCGGGAGAACCATCGGAAGAACCATCGGAACAGCCGTCGACACACCCATCGGAACAGGCATCGGGACATCCATCGGGACAAGCGTCGAGACGCCCATCGGGACAACCGCCGAGCCAACCATCAACAAAACGATCGGGACAACCGTCGGGACAAACATCGGGACAACCATTGGGACAAGAATCGGGGCACCAGTCGGGGCAACCATCGGGACGAACATCGGGGCAACAACCATCGAAAAACACATCGATACAACAACTGGGACAACCGTCGAGACAAGCGTCTGGGGAACCATCGGGACCGCCATCGGGACAACCATCGGGACAATCAGCGGGGCAACCGTCGGAACAAACATCGAACGTCCATCGGTGCAACCCTCGGGCCAACCATCGGGACCGCCATCGTGGCATCCATCGGGACAACCATCGGGACAACCATTGGGACAGCCATTCTGGGACAACCAGCAAAACAGACGTTGGGACAACCATCGGGACATCCATCAGGACAACCATCGGGAAAACCGTCTGCACGACCATCCGGACAGCCATCGGGACGTCTTGGGACAACTATCGGGGCAAGCATCGAAACGTCCATCGGGACAACCAACGAGACGCGACCCAACGCCTGGGCCGGGACGCCTCATGTTGGTCTGCCTTGGCCTCTGCTGCAGCCGCTTTTCCTTCCCAGCTTTAGATTTACAGGCCCATGCTGTAGGTGATGAAGAAGATTTTTGCCTGGCGGGCAATGCCTTGCTGTGCTGTGCTCGGCTTGCGCGGCCTACTACCTTGAGGCCGCATTTGTACTGAATGAATGTATCCCTTCGCCGAGAGGTGCGTCGGGAGGAGGACTGGGGTGGACCCGGAGGGTCTGGAGGACAGGAGGCGAGGGGGCGAGGAGGCAGCGGAGACGGCTGGAGCCGACCGCATAGACGTTCATTTCGGGACCGCCGCTGTCGTCCCCCTGGCCTTCGCCGGAAGAGCCCAACACGTCCCCGAAGCGAGAGTCAAATGCGAGCGCACCTGGCGGCTCCGGCCGATCGTCCGCGAGCGACTGGGCAGTCTGAGGGTCTCGCGACTCCCATAAACCGGAAAGGCTTGGCCGAGCCTCGCGTGACGCCTCCAGAGCAAGACTTCGCTAAGGAAACTGCGTTCCCACGAGAATAGCTGCCACAAGCACTGCAGAACACATAATGGCGCATAGTCCACAGCCTGCGCCGTCTACCCACGCCCTCGCACTTGGCAAAAAGGCTGGATGGGACAAGGCCGCTGCGCATGCACCGCATGCAACGGTACCGCCCGTGCAACTTTACAAGGTCGCGGCGGCCGTCGCACAGGGCATTGCGCCCAGGTGCAGAAGAGCCCTCCCTCGCCTCCAGGACGCGATTGCTCTCCTGCCGAGGAAAGGGCCAGGCGTGGAGGACTCGCCGACGATACGTACTCGCCAACGATACTGTACAAGTTGGTGAACACCGATGAACCCCCGCTCGGCCTCGAGACTTCTGGGGTCGAGGGTTGCACCTGCTTTGGCCGCGGTGTCGACCTGCCGATTGCCAAAGTGAAAATATCGAGCACCGTCGAAGAGACTCTGGCGTGTCGTTTGACTTTGCGAACCTGACACCCAAACTCGAAGTCGTCAAGGGCGCCCCTGATCATCGTCCACAAATCGGCCACCGCGCAGCCCGAGTGGGTGATCTCTGTCCTGCCTTTGGCGAAGGACGTCACGACCCACAGGCAATCAGAGAAAAACGTGATGTCACCAGTACCGCGATGCCAGAGACAGGCTAGCTGAGCTCATCCTTCGGCGATCTCTGACTCCTGCATCCGGCCTGTCATTGGGCCGTACATGGAACAGAGCACGGTGCCGAGAGGGTCGATCTGCACCACTCCCCAACCAGCGCTGCCAACCACGGGATCCCCTGGCACGATCGATGAAACCGAGCCGTCGCCGAATACATCTCCCTCCAGGAGCCCTCCGCGCGGCCGAAGCTGCCAGTGCATCGAAAATTCAAAAGCTGGGGGGGGGGGGAAGGGCCGAGGGTCGGGCACGAGAGCGTGACGCCACAGGCACCATTCAGGATGCGCCCGTCCAGCTGCCTCCACCCTGTCAGCCATGTCGCAGTCACGTCGCCACAGCCGGGTGACGGGGTAGTCACCCCAGGATGCATGCTGCAGGGTGCCGTCTGTTCCGCCGCAGCACGGGCAGCATGCAGAGGCCTGCGACCCTGCAGCGTGCCAACGAGCAGCGTCCCAGATGCCGTTCCCGACGATCGCCTACTCCAGTGGGCACTCGGGGGGCGCGTGGTCAGAGCGCGCAACGGCTCCAGGTACGGCTCGTGCGGCAGGTCGCGGAGGTAGTCGTGGCGGTCCATGGCGCCGCGCAACAACCACCTCTCTAGCGAGCGCCGCGCCAGGACGGCGACCGTCTAGGGGCACGTCTCGGTCATGTTGATGGTGATGCCGTCGTCGGTGCGGAAAGCGAACGCACTGCTAACGACATGCCATTTTATGCGCCTGGCAGAAGCAACAGCCGCCCCGACGGGGCCCTTGACCAGCAGCCAAGTCTCGCCGTGGTCGCAGATGGTGAACGCCGCATCCGCATCGCAAAGGAGCTTCGTGAGCCAGTCGCGCCGCGCCCAGATGTCCCACGCGGCGCGCGCGAGGTTGACCACGGGCCTGGCGGTGGACGCACATGCGGGGTCCACCGTGTGGGGCGAAGCCTGGATGGCCAAGCCCATCGTCGCCGAGCGGCCGCGCACCCCGGGGTAGAGCGCAGGGTGGGCTGCGCGCCGCAGCGCCGCGATGCGCCCCCCAGCAGGTGATGAAGAAGACTCTCGTCGCTGTCGTCAAAGGGGCCCCGGCCAACGTGGAGCTTTTGTCGAGAGTCTCGCGTCCAGGACTCAACTCCACAGAACGTGGGCCCCTGGGAACCACTCGGGAGTCCTGGCTCGCCCGGCTGCTCTCCGCGGCCCGCGCGCACGCCGCCACCTGCGTGCGCGGGGCGGAGACGAGGGTCCGCTTCGCCTGGCCAAGCGCAGCCTCCGGCCTCGCGAGCAGGGAAAGCGCGATTGGCGGCCGGGTGCGCTT